TCCAATTCGTCTAAGAAATTAGTCAGAATTTCTGACATAAATTCCACATATCTTTCACCAGTTAGGGTTCCCTCATAAAAGAACGGGCCAACAATTTTTGAACCAATTATACCGCACCAAACGTTGAAACTAAAACGGACTTGTGGGCCTCTTGGATGTACTAACAAAAGATTTTCTCTTGACCAATAATGGTGGTTTTTTCTATTAAACATTCCAGAATTTGAAAAATTTGATTCATCTGTCCATAAAAGGTAACGAAAGTTATTTACATTTTGGCGACAGAAGCTAAGATACCAATGGCAAAAAACAAGTCTTCTCTCTGGATCCCCTGCCAAAAGCGTTTGAACTGGTCGGTACTTATACGGAATAAATTTGTATTTTTTTAAAATCCTTTGAACAGTACCATAACTGAAATTAGAGTCCTTGAGAATATCTGCTATTGAATTCTCACGATAAGCTTCAAAATATCCAATAACTGCAATTTCCGTGGCCTCGCTTATTATGAATTCTTTTTTTGCCCTTGTTTTAGCAAAAACATTTTCGTTGCCCCTAAATTTTCGATAAAGTCTCAGAAAATATCGTTCATACGGTTGAATGCGAGCGGGATATAATTCACTCTTGCTCTCAAGGAGGATTTTCTGCACACTAAATAGCATTCTAACATATCACACTTTTCTTCATGGGAGAACATTTTTCTTTAAATTAATGACACAATAAAGCTTATAAACAAGTATTTACACTAATGTTTGACATTATTTGATTTTATCATTGTTTTCCAAAGCCTTCTAGTTGCGAGTATGTCCAGTTTAACAATTTGTCGCTTATCTTAATGCTGTCAAATCGCGAACGCCATGTTGTTTTCATAGCCGTCTTAATATTATAATACTGCAAATAATTAAAAATATTTATCGTTATTTTGACTTTATTTTTGACTTTAGCGGAAAAGTCATTATGAACTTTTTTGTTTAAAATTTGATGCTTTAACAGAAAAAAATATAATATACAGGGGTTTCCAATTAAAAAAATGTTATTTTACTGAAAAAAATCAAAATAACGACTCTCAATTGTTTTTTTTTATTTCTCATTTTTACCAGCGTTAAAAATGCTACTAGTTTGCTAATTCAAACAACTTTGTATTTTCACTAATAACAAAGTTACTAATGGTGGACACTTAATTTGGATAACCCTGTATATATATGTATAGGATTCATAGTTAACTGCCTTAACTGTTAGGAGAAAATATCCTTTAATTTCTTTGGGTAGAAGGCAAAGTATTGCAAAAGCACACTCTTATAACTTAAACTCTCAAGCTTTATAGATCTATGTCTTCATCGTCTGGAGTTGGAAAAAATTATTGATAATAGCAACAAATAACAAATAGGAGAAAAATAGATACTTACTAAGTCGGCGGGATTGTTGCTGAAATTGTTTTTAAACAAGTGAAGGGAACACATCGTCGACGAATAAAAAACTGGACTGATGATGTTCAATTAGGACGGAATTAATTATTTTATTATTAAATGGAAAGTCATTTAGAAAGGTTTTTTAATTAAACGTTAATTGATTTTGGAAAAAATTTGGAAATTTTCAAACTATCAACTATTGAAAATTCCTTCGAGATTTAATCTTCCACATTATCCAACACGAATGTCAGTCGGCCGGCATGAGTTGGATGGGAGACCGAAGCAGGCACATTGTGCGACGATATCATGGAGGAGAGCTCTGAGGAGCAAAGACCGTTGACATAGTGGAGGGTCAGGCCTAGATCGCCGTCGGTACGAAAGGTTTCAGAGACTACCCGTTAGAGGCGAGTCATCGATCAGTCGGACAGCCTTCCTCTGGAGGGCGGTAGCACCCAAAGTATGTGAGCAGTACTCGAGACTAGGTGTTGTCTGGGCTTTGTACAGAGTAAGGAGGTCATATGGAGAGAAGTACATTTTAGTCCTAAGCAAGTAGTCTAGCTTTTTCCCAGCAGCTGCCGCTATTGACGAGATGTATTCGTGCCAGATCAAGTCCTCGATTATTTGGACTCCAGCCAACCAAAATTAACGGCTCGGTCATCCATCTAAGCCGGATGAGCGATAGGGCGATTCTTGTTAGTCAAGGTATGGTATTGTGTTTTGGAAGCATTGAACTGTAGAAGATTGCTGCATCCTCAAGCAGTGATAACCTCCACTTCTCTCGTTAGAGAGGAAGTCGCTGCTAGTCTTCTTTTCTCTAGTTTACCGGCAGAGATCGGCTTGGGACTCTGAATTGCGGCATGTAGTGTGCTATCATCAGCAAATCTGAGGATCGTATTGATTGTTCAGGAAAGCTTCTCTGGGAGGGCATAGGATGAAAGTTTGCATAAGAGGGCAGCACGCATCTGCTGATGGAATGCTTTCGCAATATCAAGAGCAACGCCATGAGCCTCACCATAATAAATCATATTTCCTGTCGCTAGTGAAGCAGCCGTGACGTTCAAGGAACTCCAGAAGCTTCTGATGTATCCATTCCATCACCTTACTCATAACAGAAAGCATAGCTATAGGCCAATATTTGTAAAAGTCGGTCCTAGATCCTTTTTTGGGATGAGCTGAAGGTAACAAGTTTCCTAATTTTCTGGGAAAGTTCGTAAGATATCTGGAAGAGACGTGAAAGGACTGGAGCAAGTTCCGCTGCACATCTCTTCAATACAACGGCAGGAATCACGTCCGGACCAGCCTCCTTGACAGTAAGCAACAAGAGTACCCGTGTTACGGTCCAATGCCTGAAGGTTACTTCCTGCATAATGTAGGGGGCACTTTAAGTCAGCGTCACTCGGGCGTTGATGGTGGAGTTGACTACGGATATCTTGGCAAGCACTTTCGCCTTAGCCTTTGAGTCGTTTAAAATCGTTCCATCCTAGCACATAAGCATTCTAAGGCTACTCTTTCAGAAGTTATCTTCAATCTGCTCAGCCAGCGTGTGAGCTGTGCCTAATTCTCACATCGTGCTAGTCTTTGACATTGCGCACCGCTTCGTTATATTTGTTTCTGAGCTTGACGTTGGCCCCCGAAAATATCCAAATCTAATTCATTCAAACTCAAGGTACATTGAGTAGTATCACCATTTTTCAGAATGATCGATCCCCCTGGAACCCATAACCGCAAAAACGAAAATACTTTTTACGGGTACAATTTTTTCAAAGAATTTGAAAAAATACATGTGCACAGTGAGTTGCTCTGTTAGCCAAGCATCCGTTTCCTTACAATGAAATCAAAAAGTGAAGGAAACATGCGAACCCCCTTTTTTTTTTGCTAATTTTGCAATTTTTCGGTATACATAATTTGACTATACATGTACAAAAATACATATGTAGGTTAGGTTTTTGAGTTAGTCAACTTATATCCTACTTTTAAAATGCCAAACATTGCGAAAAATTGGTGGAAATGCGTTTTTTTCTGATTTTTTGACGACGAAACCCGGGAAAAGCGGTTTTTCTGATTTTTGACGATTCTCCGGACATAATCACGATTCTGAGAACGGTATTGAAAAGAACGTAAAACACACATACCCATCTATACCTTATTTCACGAGTATCCTTCACGCTTTAAGGTAAACAGCTGATCAACAAAAGCGACATCTTTGTATTAATTTGTAACGTTGGCAATAATTAATTTCGGGACCGTATTCAGAGCTGTTGTTCACATATCAGGATTATATTTTTCAGTGGACGGGCAATGTGACAATAAAATGTACAAGTACAGATATAGAAAAGTTTTTTAGAAAATTATTATAGTATATTGATTTATGGATTACGTGGCATGCCAATAGAGCAGGTTGCGTAGTCCTTTCCAGAAGCTGTAAAGATAATATGGAAGTCTGTTTCTGGTTTATTGTCCATCATCAGTGTAACGTAATTCACCAAAAGCACATAACTAATCACATCAAATCTAATAGATTCACCCAAAATTACGAAAACGACCCACCACCATGCCATGTCATTGTGATACATCAAATGCAACCTACCACTCAAATAGCAAAACAAAAATAAAATATACTTCCTAGATTTTCTATTTCGTCGATATGTAATGAAAAAAAAACAAATCAAAGACAATTTAAAAAAAGATCCAAGCTCCACAAATCTATAATAAATCACAGTAATGTAGATTTTAACAATGCAGCTTTTGTTTGTTGAAAGTTATATTAAGAAAAACATGTTTTTGAGGTTAGGGGTCCATAGGGGCGACCTGTTAATCTGAAAGATTGGTTATGGTGATTCCACCCAATGTATCTAAAATTGGATTGAATCAGATTTTGATACATTTGCGGACAATTATTTTCATATGTAGTTGCGCCTACATCCTTTATTAAAAACCATTAACTACTCAAAATTATTACGCGTCACATCACTATGTCGCGGGCAAGAATGTGCTCAAAAAAGCACATACATCATCACTAGCGCTATAGATGTAGCCTTTGTTTTCTCGCTCAAAATCTCAAATCTAAAAAATTCATACGTCTTTCGGCATGAACCAGCTTTATGAAAAGATGTGTAAAGTCAAAGTAGTGGAACCGCCATCAAAGCCAAGATTCGACGTCGCTACAAAAATGGCACCTTATGTTTAAAGACAACCACCTTTACTTTGCATATCTTCAGAAGTTATTTTCTGTTATAACTTCAGTGCCGGTATCAAACGCAGCAACGAAAAGGTATTTTTAGGCTTGATTGAGAGGCGAAACCGTTTGAAACTCAAACACGTCAAAGCTGAAATTCAAATCAAATACATCTTTAGTAGGACTTGCAGTGCATGTTATAACTACTACAATGGTTCTCGCGTGGGCTCCAAAGATGCACAGGGCTGCCGATTATCCAATCGACAGAGGATGGGTTCTCGAAGAGTAAACAACGGTAGATTCGAGAGAGTACACGATTTATTGAAATCTCACAAAAACAGCAATTCTAAGCAAAACTTAAAAGAATAAATGAATCGCGACCCTGCCCCGACGAGTGTCTAGGGTCGACAGACTGCCAAATCCTCCCATAGTTGCCAAGTGTCCCCTGCACACATCGTCACACATCACTAAGCCACCACACTATGTTATAAACAGCAAGGCAATCGTAAAGGCAGCAGCGTCTAAAGCAAAACATAATTTTATTAAAAAATAAATTATTCAAAGTTATAACCCATGTTAATAACTAGTACATAAGCTATACTACATAATAAATTAACCCTTAATTATAAAAACGTTTTTTGTTTGTCCCGATCTGCAACCCTAAATCTGGAAATCTTTTACTACCTTTTGGTCCGGTTTGAAACAAATTGGACCTGGTAACACGAGCTACCATATGCGAGTAAATCAATCAGTTCAAATTGAAACCTTTATTTTATATAGAATGTCACTTACGGTGCATTTGGCTTATACGTGATAAATGATGATGATACGCCACTGGTGTGATCTGTGTCGTGTTCGGGGTTCTGCTGAAAATTCATAGTTTTGAGTGGTAAAAAGTGGCCAAAAAAATTGGAATTTTCGTGCAAATATTAGTAATAAGTGCAGTTAACAATCCTGTGAAGTGAGACTTGTATGCAATCTGCTTAAACGAAGTTACTTGAAATCTTTAGTTTATATCGTACCAACGTAAGAAGTCACTTTTTTGCGACACATTCTGTGAGAATACAAGGACTAGTAGCTCAATTTTTTTATTATTGTGTTTACGAGTAAAATAAATGGGATGGCGGAGGTAAAACCAGAAATCACGATTAAAAGTCGTGTTTCCGAACACGTGGTGGAATGCGCTGTATCTGGTGCAGCTTGAGTAGCGTATGCATTGTTGATCAGGCCTACTGTTCTTAACTTTGGCTTCATCATCATGAGTAAATGTCTGATGTGTCCTGACAAGGGACCTATTCTGTTGAAGAATGCTGTTCAATGTACATCTTGCTCTATATATTATCATGTCATGTGGTAACAGGGCAAAGTTGTTGCCTGATGGAAGTTATAATTACTGTTGTGGTACTGGTGGTCAAGTTCATGATGAAGATTTTGCTGGACTAGATCCTGGATTTCAACTTATTTTGAAAAGGCTTGACAAAGTAGATGCGTCACTGAGTGCCATTAAGTCAGATATTCAATCCTCCAGCAACAAGCTAACAGAACTTGAAAAAAGGTTGATACACTTGAAGAGATTGTTACTAGTGAGTCTTTATATGATGAAATGAAAGATAGGATGAATAGAGAGAAGACCTTTATTATATATAACTTTGATGACTCAGTGAACGCAGCTGCTACTGATTCTGTGAAAATAAAGAAATGCTCGAGGATACAAAGCTTGTTATTCCATTTAACTTTGATGATCTTAAAGTTTTTCGACTTGGATGTGATTTTGTTGAAGGAAAGAATAGATTAGTCAAAGTTGTTATGAAATCCTCTGATTTATCATCATAGTAGTGAAATTTTTAAAATTAATGTTTTTGTCAGTAGTGATCTTACAAAAAAACAACAAGCTCACATGCAAAAACTTAAAAATGAAGTGAAGCATAGATCTGACAAGGGAGAAAAGGATTTAAAAATTAAACATATCAGAGGTAAACCAACGATTGTTAAATCTATTGTTGCTGATAATCAATTAAATGAAAATGATGAAGATACTGAATGACTATATGATAGTTACCATAATTTGAGGATTTTTTACCAAAATATTCGTAGTGTCAGAGGAAGGCTTGATGAGTTTTATTCCAGATTATGTCTTATTAATGAATATGACATTATAGTTTTGACTGAAAATTGGCTCGATGAAGACATTACTACTGCTGAATTACAACTCCAAGATTTTACTGTGTACAGATGTGACAGGTCTTTATTTACAAGTGTGAAGAAATCTGGTGGTGGTGTTTTGATTGTAGTCAAAAAATTTATTAAGGGTTTAAAGGTTATTTTAGTTAATAACTCTTATGAACAAGTTATTGTGCGTATAAAAACTCATCCAAAGTCATTTTTCATTAGTGTGGTCTATATACCACCCCTTTCAACCTCTGATTACTACAGAGAATTTGTTGATAACCTTCAAAATTCATTGCTAAATTACATTAAGGACTACAATTAATATGATCTCTTATTATTGGGTGATTTTGATTTACCGGATTACAGATGGTTTAAAAATGATTATTTTTTTACTGCTGTTGGTTATCATCTGAGCAAAGATGTTTTACTTTCTGATTTATGTAAACTTTTGAGTTTAACTCAGTATAACACTTACATTAACTCATCGGGGAATATTCTTGACCTGATCTTTTCCAATAGCACTGATGTTTCTTATGAAATCGCTGATGTAGCTATTTTTGATTGTGATAGTTATCACTTACATTTTAAAATAAATATCTCAGTGCCTAAAATTGATACACTGAAAACTTGCAATTATATTTATGATTTCAAAGATGCAGACTATGCAGCAATTCCAAGTGAATTACACTGCCTGGATTGGACTTTATTTAATAACCACTGTGATGACGTTAATCTACTAGTTAAAGCTTTAGAGTTTAATATTAATACTTTGATTAATAAGTTTATACCAAAGATCTTAATTAAGTCGAGTAATTTTCCCTCGTGGTTCTCGAGAGATTTAGTTAATGCTGTTAAAACTAAGAAAAAGGATCATAAATTATATAAATTGTATCATTCTGATTACTATTACATGTTGTTTTCTAAAGAGCGTACCAATTGTGGTATCTTACATACTAAAGATAAAACTAATTATATTAATAAAGTTGAGAACTCATTAGCTGATAGTAGTCAATTTTTTTTAATTATATTAATTCTTTATGTAAATCAAAAGATTATCCATCAGTTATGCATTACGGTAGTCAAACTGCTGATAATGGTAAAGATATTACTAACTTATTTGCTCAGAAATTTGGTGGAGTTCATTCCAATAGTAACTTGACAACAACTGAAATTGATTGTAATATTTATGATTGCTTGAGTTCAGTTAGATTCTCGATTGATGGTGTTGCTAAATCTGTTGAAAAATTAAATGTTAAATCAGGACCTGGTAATGACAATATTCATCCGTTAATGATTTCTAATTGCTCGCAATTCCTATTACGGAAATTAACTGAAATTTACAATTTGTCATTGCAATCTGGTGTTTTCACTTGCTGTTGAAAAACCTCCTTCATCAAACCATTATACATCTGATGTCAACAATTATAGACCAATTTGTAAGCCTAATGTTTTAGCAAAAAATTTTGATCAGTTGGTACATGAAAAGCTTTCCTGTTATTTATCAAGATTCATTATTACAAATCAACATGGCTTCATGAAGAATAAATCAACTATTACTAATTTAAATTTATATACAGAAAATTTAGTTGATGCAATCAGCAATGGATTAGCGACTGATTCTATTTATACAGACTTTTCTAGTGCCTTTGATGTAGTTAACGTTTCTTTGCTTCTAAATAAGCTTGAAGCTTACGGTATCAATGGTGCATTGTTGAAATGGTTAGAGTCTTATTGGACTGATAGAAAACAGTATGTCAAAATCGATAATCATATATCATATGTCATTGACGTAACATCAGGAGTTGGTCAAAGTTCTCACTTGGGACCATTGCTATTTCTAGTTTTCATAAATTATATCAAATCTTGCATACGTCATTGTAAATTTTTGTTGTTTGCTGATGACTTAAAATTATATAAAGTAATTAGATCTATTTATGATAGATACTTAGTGCAAATTGATATAAATTCGTTACTTATTTGGAGTATATTAAACGGCATACCTTTTAACATCAAAAACTGTTATTTTATTACTTTTGGTAAATGTAACTAAACTTACAAGATGTTGATCATAACTTTGCAACGTTGGGTTAGAAAAGTTAGACTCTATAAAAGATCTTGGTATCATTTTTGATTAAATTATCGTTTAATTATCATATTGAACACATTAGAAATTGATCAATAAAAAAATTTTTTTAAAGAGATTTACAAGATATTTTAAAACTATTAGCACCTTCAGAACTCTGTACTATTCTTTTGTATATCTAATTCTAAGCCATGGTTTTGTAGTTTGGAATCCTTATCTTAAATATCAAATAGATTCTCTTGAAAAAGCCAATCATGTCTTTTTAAGATATGTTGCAAACAGAACTGGTATGCCAATGAATTTTACCGATCACAACTACACAAATATTTCAAACAAAATTATGATTTATTTGCTTATAATTTATTTAATAACATTATTGATAGTTTCAGTTTATTGTCAAAATTCAGATTTTATGTGCCACCACAATGTTAAGACGTAATAATGTTTATTTTCATGTTATGCCACCTAAATCAGATCTGATAAATCATTCTCCTGTTTTTAGGTTATCTAAACTATGTAATGAACACAGTAGTTGGCTTGATTTGTATAATTCGAGTAATTATATTGTTAGAAGTTTATCAAAGTCTATGTTTAGATTTGAGTAGTCTTTTGATTTTGTAATATTTGAATTTATGATTACTAGATTATTGCATTTCCTCATTTGAATATCTGTATTAAATTTCGCAGATGATTATGTTAATCTCAGTTGATTGCCTTATATACTATGCTACTGTTACCACATATGTAGCGCCACATACGCGACGTTTGCGGTGCATTTTTCTATTTATAATAGAAATGTATATTGGGTTCGCCCGTAAGTTGAATAAATAAATAAATAAATACATATAAACAGTAAAACAATGTATGTTGTTTCTGCATACATTCAAAATATGTACTCCTTACCTCTTTCATCGAGGACGGGGGTTACGACTGTTCGCTCCCCATTCCCGCCAAATTTGGCCTTTTAGGGTACATTCGTGCTCGTCCAAATACAATACTCAGTTTTCTGCTTATTACAAGTGAGCCCACATCGATCACTGTACTCGAATATTTATTCCATTGTCTAATTTGCTCTTATGTGTATGATGGGTATTTTGCTGTTTGGATTCACTTCGCGTATTGTGACATCATTATTTTGCCCTACAATGTTTTCTGCCGGTAGATCACCAACGTATATGTTCCACAGGCAGGGCCTTGGTATAGATCCTCGTGGTATTCCGTTGATGATCTATTTTTGTTTTGGCTTGATTGTTTTTGTCGTATATTTGTTCGGATGAACAAATAGTTTTCTATAGTTTTGAAAACATTGTTATCTACATAAATAATTAAGGTAAATACGTTGTTGGGGAATTCTTCTATAATGCCAATTGCCAATAGATATCTGCTCTTTTTGAGTACCTACGTAAAATATGTAGGCGCAGCAGTTTACGTTCTTATCGGTAAAAATATTTTATCGAATTTACATCATATGGAACAAAAGTTTGTCATACCTATATGAATTGGCCAGCTGCCAGAAATCGGGTTTAAAGGTTTGTGAAAAGCGTTCTTTTTCACATACCAGTCAAAGTGGTGAGTCGAGATAGGTATACATATATCTGATTCAACGAGCAGACGAGGTGAGTATTGGGGTCATTGAGATATTTATAATTTGTTTTTCACGTCAGATGCCACATGCACGTACATAAAAAATCAGAAAATATGTTACCTGGCAGTTTAATCATGTTCATCCGTATTTTTCTTAGAATGTTACTGGTAGCATAAATCTGCTTATGCACGTGTTAATTGTGTTGTATCGTCATAGTAGCTATTCGATGAAGCTTACCATGTGTGTGTGCGCTTTTCTGTTTCATAGCGTTTTCACCAAAGCATAAAATACAGGAGTACAGATCAAATTCATCACTTTACATTACATACATTAATGTAAGTCATTAAGCTATTACCATTCCAAGGACGTGGTTACAGATCATGGATGATATCTTGACAGTTGCAGTAGGCAGAACATTTTCAATGATGTAAATGGAAGTATGAGTTAATCAAAGTCTGACTCTGCACCCAATAGTCTGAATTTGGCTTTTGCATACATCCTTAGCACAAAAAAATCGACTGTACTCATAAAAATGGTGGACCAGTAGTACAATTAACTCGGTGGCCAATTTCGCGATAGGACAAACCAACAACTCGATAATAATTCTACCCCTGTCCAAGTCGCTAACATGATGATAAATTGGACTTCTTCGAACCCGAGACACCTTTTATGCTTCACGCTAGTAAATGAAAGGGCATTAACTAAAACTATCTATACTACTCAGCTCTCAGAAGCTGCTTTCTTCACTCACAAAAACTAAAGGATAACATTTTAACGAAGGTAAATAAAATGTTGAAATTGTTGCCACTGCATGCTTTAAAACTTCTGTCACTGAGTATATATAGAAATACAACAACAATGATGAATCTAACAGCTATCCAACTAGGAACGTTGATAGTCAAGTCTCGTTGGTAGTGGACGGTCTTTGTCTGATGAACGGCGTACTACCCGTCGGATCGGATCTCTAAGGCGGGACCAGAATGTGTGCAGGTTGCATGCACACGTGCTCACTCGCTAGAGTCCTTGTGGCGTCCCTCCCTTCTCCTGTATCCCCTATAGCCCCATGGCACTCAAAGGGAGTTTAGGCCTGAGGTCTACCTGGTGGTTCAAGTATACAAAAAGGTGGCCTGTTTTTAAGAATTTCTGTAAGTCCTTTCTTATACAGGGTGATTCAAATACAGTTGCAACATCTTTACGGCGGAAAATATCTAAAAAAAAGACACATACAAAACGGATGCCAGATTGTTTCCTTACCGAGATTCAGAGTGTTAAAGTTTTAATTTAAGAAGCGAAATAAAAAGTAATTAAAACTTTGTACTAGCAGCGTAGTCATTACATACAAAACTGTGTGGCTGAAAGCAGCAATGATGTAGACATTGGAAAATTTTGACTTCTTGGAACCTCTATTGAACTTTTCAATAATGAATTGTATTTCTTGAAGCATTTTCGAATCCGAATAAAATACTTCTATCCATTCTACTCATGTCAAAATACGTTGCCTAGTAAAGTTTAACATTGCAAATTCTATAAAGTGTATTGAGGGAGTAATCCAATCTTATTCAGTCTCATCAATAGATGTAGGTACTTACAACACCTTTATGATTACTTTTGTTTCTTAATTACCCTGTATACAATATAATATTACGGAAGAACTTCAATACGACTCATTTTCTAGTAACCTGGTCCAAAAACGAAATGGCGCACTATTCAAATTAAACGTTACCTTAATGTTTTATGTGATAAGTGTCTCACAGCAATGAAATAACATGGATAACATGGTAAAGTTCCTCATTAATTTCAGAGGGATTATCTTGTGGGAAAAAGAGGTTGATTAATTCTAATCTCATTTAAACGGAGGTACCACCTTAAGAAAAATAAGTTGTGACCAGTTTTCAAAATATACAAAAATGTCTTCTATCTATGAAGTCTTCCATTAGAATCATCCGCTAAATCTCAGATTATCAGATGTTTGCCACCACCTCAGTGAATTAGGAGGGTAAGAGGCCCTAAACAAGCGTAATTTATAATTTCATTGACATGTCGATAATCCCCCATACTTCTCTGACCAATCAAGACCATATGTGTTGAAAACATTTTTATTATATATATATATATATATATATATATATATATAAAAGAAGCAAAAAGTTTCATATAATATGGGGGTGAAACGGCATTTTTTTATAGAAAAGCGACTTTAAAGTAAAATAGAATCTGACAACGCCGCAATGCCAGACGCAAGTTATGACGGAACACAGTGTAAATAAAGATGGAGTTTGTTATTTTTGGCTCTTAGGTATTATTTCATTATTTGATAATTACTCGTAAAATGCAAACAATTAAAAAAACCGACTTACCACTAACTGTCTCAGCGCTTCACCTGGTGTGTGAAAGCTTATTGAACGTATTAAAAAAATCCACTTATAAATAGGGAACACAATTTTCGTACATACATTGTTTTTCTTTTTAATACCCACACTGCAATTTTTGGTATTTATAGAAGGTGTTCAACATGTCGTCCTCCAATTTCCACACAAGCTTCATTACGACGAACCTAGTTTCTTCTTACTCTAGGACCTCAAAGTTGTCCATTTATTATTTCTGCCGCATTAAAAATTTGTTCACGAAGTTGTGCTTCAGTTGTTATTAGACCAGCCCCATAAACTATCCCTTTAAGTTCTCCCCAATACCAGAAATCCATCGGATTGAGGACAGGAGATCTTGCTGGCCATTTTCGAGGATCAGAAGCATTTCGACCGATCCTGCGATTTGGATAATGTTCATTCAAATACTGAATGACGCCTCTTAAAATGTGTGGTGGTGCCCTGTCATGAAGAAACCACAAATTCTGTCTCCGTTGTAATGTCATGTTGTCTAAGGTCTGTTTTAAAAGTTCTGGTAGGTTATTGGCTAGAAAGCTAAGGTATCCTTCTCCTGACAACTTTGGGGGTAACTCGAAAGGGCCAATTACCTGATCATCAAGAATACCCGCCCAAATATTTATTTTAAAACGTTGTTGGAAATGACCTTGACGAATGGTATGAGGATGTTCTTGGGCCACGTGTGAGTATTACGGAAATTTAATATCCCGTCTCGCGTAAAAGTACATTCGTCCGTCGCTAAATGTTTTTAAAAAAATCTGAATTTTCAATGTTTTTGTGCAAAAACCAGTGACAGAATGTTAGTCTGCGAGGATAGTCTTCTGGTAGCAAGGCCTGCACTCGTTGTACATGATAGGGATAAAGCAAATTTTCCCGTAGGATTCTATGGACTATGGTATGCGATAGTTCTACGCAGCGGCCTAATTCCCGAGTGCTGATATCTGTCTTTCACGAGTGCGAATATTAGTGGGCTGAACACTTTCTGTATCTCGAAGTCTTTGGTACACTTGCACAAATGTCCTTCTGTCTGGGTGTACCCGTTGGCGAAATCTGTCGCGATAAATTTGAACTGCAAGATTTGAGTTCTGACGAGCTTCACTGTAAACTAACAACATGTCGGCGAACTCTTGATTCAAGAAAATTGTAAATACACGACGACGTACGCGAACAAAAACAAAAGAACACGCCCGATGCTCTGCTCGACATAACGATAAAGTAATTTATCTTTGCAGAACGATAACCCACCACTGTTACTATTTTCGATCGATTGCTGGTTCGATAACAGTGATGAAAGACCGACGCGCTGTTGTCATGTGTGTTTTAAACATTTAATTTAATGAAACTTACTTACTGACTACAAATTTTGGCTTAACTTAGAAAAACTTGATGCCATTTATTTGTTAGTTACCCAATTTAAAAACGTTTTAGATTAAATTATCAAAATTAGTAAGATTGTGATGATTGTGGTCGATATAAAGCCATTTAGACAAAACTCTATTGACTTTTGGACCATGGGTCATATGAACTTTTTGACTTGTTTTGACCCTCCCCCCTATTACCCATTACAATAATGACTACCATAACGTTAACACCCTGTATAATAATATTAATGATGATGATAATAATTTTAGTAATAATAGTAATAAATATATAATCAAGAAGATTTTTTCAAAACACGTGGTTTCGATTAGCTCTCAAGATCCCGTTGAAAATTTAAACTTTTCCAAACCTGAAGCAAGGTCATCACCCTCCAAAAAGTGTCGTAATCCTGAAATTACATTTGCAAAAGTACAGACGTTTAAGGTTATACCTACATTTTGACAATTAGCAGTTAATGGCGGGTTTATACAACCTTTTAATAGGCACGAGCATAATCACAGTCACAAGCTCAGAGTGTATTTTCACCGATGACAGCCTCCTGGCCCCTAAAAAGTTGGGCAATTCTAACAAAGATAGAATCAAAAGAATCAAAAATCGAACTAGGAAACGGTGAACACGGCGAAAATCAAAAATAAAATGGGACACAATGGGGAACAACATCAAACCACAAAACATGGTAAGCCCACAAAACTTGGAAACTTGACAGAACACCTTTAAAAGTTTTAACACATAGACTTGGTAAAATAACGTTTCGGTCATAGACATAAGCGTTAAAAGTTACGAACCTCAAAGTCATCCCCTTACTGTAACAAGTTGTATAAACGCGTTCATAAGAAATGCATATTTCAACTCTTATGCTTATGTATCTATGCGTATGACTGTTACTAGTAAAATGTTGTATACACCCGCTATAGACCATCTATAAACCGGGCACTAGTGCTCCAGATAACGATGCTACACTTTATTGGTAGAAGCAGTGCTAATCCTATCAATTCAGAATGGGTTGTAACCCTGTGTTTGTCTACTTGTAACTGTCAAGAGCCACGTGCCATGGCCTGTAAAGGATTGGACTATAAAACTTATATCGATCCGAAGGAAGTGTGGTGAATTTTGACTTATTAGTACAGTAGGTAGAGTAATCTGCTTTTTGAGAATGAGAACTTATCAGGGAAAAGCTTTTAAAGTAATGTTATATTTGGAATACTTGAATATACAAGCATACAAGTGAAAACTATTACATCAATAGAGGTTGTTCTGAAAGTTTGGACTAATCATTTCAGAGACACCTACGTTTGAATCAACAAAGCTCAGATACATGAAAACAGCAGCAAAAAGTAATAAGCGGAGAAAACAGCTGTTCATTTAATAAGAAAGTCTAAGTATCGGTCAAATGTTCAAAGATGTGTTCGGTATAAAAACGCACGTTGAATGCAGCGCGAGATACAAACGTCAAAGAGAAGGAACTGGATATGTACTAGTATCAGCCAAATTTTGAAGACATTCACCATAAACTAATAACAAATCGATAAGGATTTTGCCTTTTTTGTTTTTTTTATAATCTGGTTAATAAACGAAACAATTAGTTCACCTACATCGCACATGGGTCTGGGTTGTTATAGCAACACTTATTTGTTGCAAAATACTTTAATTTCATGAGACCATATGATTGAATTTTGATATCATCAACTACCAATACTTTCCTATAAAAGGCAAACATGTCGTTCAACCAAGCTATCCTAGAACTATGTAGAGTCTTGGTCCATTTTAAAACTTATTTGAAAGTGCACATTCATTTTTGTTACGTCAGCTACCACACTAGACTTATCATCTATCATCTTCGTCTTCATAGCATCTATTCTAATCGTATTTTAGAACGATGCTGACGATTCAATACGACCCCTCATATGGAAGCAAATATGATTACCTTTGGATGCCGTCATATAAGTACACACTAGATTACAGTAAATATGACCCCAGAAATCCTCGATCCAGATTCGAACCATCTAGACATTGTTATTGGTACCCTTACTATTGGCCAGCTCATCTGATGGAGAACACGCCCACAGCTAGTTCCCTGCGAGAAGTTAGAGTAAGTTAAGCTTTTTATCTTATACTGAAAGGCCATCATCTATCTTTCGTAGGATTTTAAACTTTCCAGCGTTTCTATGAATGAAGATAGTTCTAATGAAAGAAAAAATCGCGAATGAACAGGAGTGGATCACAGAGAGTATACAAGTGTCCAAGATACGGATGATTGATGACTTTGATTTTGGTAACGATTACATTTACATTGATTATAAGAGGAAGACACATAGTTATGTTATATATAACCATATTATGTGGTTTACCTTAGCGGCCAAGTCCTACGTTTTTGCGGATTCTACTAACTTCGAGCAGTTCAAGAATTGCATTAATCAAATATCTATTACCTTTTTGCAGCAGTCGCAGTACGTTGGTACTTAGGATTCTGCCTCCGCGGACATTTCAGTATAAAAAAATCTAAAAGTCAAAGAGTCATATCTAATTTTTTGAAATACGACATCGATTAAATAAATGGTGTCCCAAAATTTACACAAGATTTGGGTTTGATATGAAACCCAGTTTTTCTTTAGGTTGTTATTTTAAATGAATCATAGAGTAGAAAGTATAAGGTTGTATTCTAGTTATTTGAAAAAATTGAAATGAAAAGTTTTTCAAAAAACTGCCTATGGTCAGGAAATCCGAGAAGGCTAGTTGCCTAACGTGCTAGTTCATACATAACCGTTTATTGTGTACTTTACTATTCAATAAAAAATAACAATCTAAAGAAAACAAATTGTGTTATCTATTGAATTCAAATCTTGGATGAGTGTCGAGACACCATTATTGTTATACTAGTAGCTGTGCGAATATGTGAATTTTCTGATTATTCCAATAATTAGTCTGTAACATTAAATAATTCGGGGAAACCAACATCGAAACAATTCCTCTTTTCAAATAGCCAGAAATTGTTCAAAGCTCTGTTCTCTAGACTCCATGGAGCTTTTTCTGTTGTAATTAAATATGAGTTAATAGTAATATTCTTCTCTTTGAAGCTCGGATTTGAGAAACCTAAAACGTATTTAAAGTTCAACTAAAAACTTACTTGATAAAACCACAAAGAATTACTCTAGCATCATTTGTCAAATAAAGCCCACTTTGTGGTTCTAACTATTTTTACTGCTTAGAAAAGATCAAGTCAGTCATCTTGGACTATATAAAAAATAGTCGCCAATCCCCATCCGTTTGGCAAAAATTTCCGTTGCGATGATCAAAACGCCTGTACCTGTGTTCAATAGAGGCTTACCTTCTGATTTCGTTGCGCTTAACGCGGATAATGAAAATTTTTCATTTTTGTAAGTGTTAAGGGCAAACATTCGGAATGTGTGAAATAGGTCTAATACATGTATATAGCCCCGGCTTAGGAGCGTACAAATATATTCTAAGTGACATATAAAATACAACACCCAGATTCATTTATTGAATTTTGATAAAAATTAAATTTTGAAAGCATTCCGAGCCGTACTTTTTTTGTAAAGTCTTTTTTTGTCACATCAGGATCCGAACAACATGAACATATTTACTTGTTATTCAGTGATTTTTCTGTGTTGGTTCCATTTGTTTCATTGTTGTGTCACTGCATTATCATGCCTAGAGTTCTAGGTCAACTTTCCGAGCTCGAGAGGGGTCAAATAACCGGGTTACGTGAAGCGGGATCTTCTTTTAGAGAAATCGCTAATAAGGTGAGTCGAAGCGAAGCTACTGTAATGAGATGTTGACAAGCGTGGTTCATTATTTGAGCACTTAGAGACCGACAGTTTATCGCCAATTAAGTGCTTTGGACCGTTTTCATACCTTTCCGAGCTTGTACTACCTCCGGCTCCACAGCAATGTCGGCAGCGATTGGTATGGAGTAGGACGAGGCATCAATGGAATATGGAATGGGACTCAGTCGTCTTCAGCGATGAGTCCAGATTCTGTTTGGGCACACATGGGTGTAGACGAGGTGAAATAATATTCCATCGAATGGCATACTCATCGCACTGCGGATGTTGAGGTATGGGATGCCAGCTATTGCTTACGGCAGCAGGTCATGATATATCGACGAGGTTTCACAACCTTATCTGTTTCCCTTTTTGGAAACATTGCAAGATCCACATTTTCAGCTGGACTATGCACGACCTCATGTCGCACGTGTTAGCTTAGACTTTGTCGAAGCATCCGGAGTAAATCTGTTTCAGTGGCCTTCTCGATCTTCAGACCTTTTTCCCGTCCAACATGTATAGGAAATGATGGGAAGAAAGTTTCCTCAAACATTGGAGGCTCTAGGAAACCAAATTCAGATGGTCTAGGATACAATACACCAAGAAGACATCAATCACCTAATTCAATCAATGCGACGACGACTTAACGAATGTGTAGCGAACAGGGTAGCTTAGCACATTATTAACATTGAGATGCAATATCTCAGCTATTTTGCGAAATTTTGATGTAAAATTTTAATCACTTTCTAATTATCAGTAGACATAAAACTTGTAGAAGTATGGTCGGTCTTGCATTTTCTATGTCATTTAGTATATTAACACCAAAAGCTTGATATATACCCTCTCTCACCCCCTGTGAGCCTCACCACTAATTTTACACCCCTCATCAAAGAATTTCTAAAAGCAAGCAGGTGTCTTGGATCGGTTTTCAAAAACAAGCTCCTTTATCCTTCGCATAGTGTCGACAGGTGGTACGCTGATAAAAATAAGTGACATAGTTTTTCGTGATGTACATGCAAAATTAACAAAACGTAACTGCAATTAAAAAATTAACTTAATGATACTTTCGAGAAGTGGAAATGGATTAAGGTTCGTTATTTTTTGATACCTTAAAATTAAAATAGTATTGAAAACTATGGAACTCGAAAAATCATCGTACTAATTACTCTAAATCGCGAATGAGGTAGCGCAATTTCTTGAGCTCCTTGTTAAATGCTTTAAAACTACGCCGCTTTCTCCTCATTTAACCAAAATTGAAAGTATTACTATCCTCAAGATCTTGGTGTTTACCCAGCCTTATCTTGAGCACTTTCTATATCTTGATTGACCCACTCCTATGTTTCAAAATGATTGGTGTTTAATCATGACCTGTTGTGTCATTTAGAAGCAATTCCATTCTAGTGCAACAGAATGTTCAGCGTTTCGGAAGTATAAGAATTTCCTTACGAAAGCTGAATGAGATTTCTGCCACCCCTATTCCATACAAAATGCCTGAAATGGAACTATAGTAGAATTAAGCCACTCTGGCAAAAACGGCACTGTGTTATGTAGCTCTAAATTTAGCCTGACACATGTATTTCTATAATTACAGCTGCGCCACAACTTGTACTATTTACGTCCCTGAGTGCATGAATCGCAATTAGGGTGGAATGATGTACTGAATTTACCCACGACAACACTATAATGTGATATTTAATTATTTTGCATTAGTGTACTGTATCTAATAAACTTTATTTTCATATAGAGCTTTTACCTTTTACCTTTCAGACATCCAGCGTTGTTTTTATTTGTACTGCGATATGCTAGATTCAATAGCCGAACAACTAACCATGTTATTAACAAATTTTTTAGGAATAGATACAAAATGTAAAACATGTTTTCGTCTAACACAGTTAAGAATACTCAGTTAAGTAACCTCTCAAGTGAAAATAAAGAAAAATCTAGCATGCTATGGGCGTATGCGCACATACATAGATACCTGCTTCAAACTTTTGTGGAAGAAGGGCTAAGAAAGATAATACAGGGAGTTTCAGTACCAAATTGAAAAATAAATAATTGTATTTTTCGTTCATCGTCGTGATATCACAACACGTCTTAATAATGTATTGTATCAAATGTTGTACCAAACAACTGTAGAACAGAAAATACCAGGAATTTTTTGTTTTTTCATACTGATAAGAACGTGTAAATAAGGTTTAATCTGTATTGTGGGTAATCTGAATGAAGAACGGTCGATTTTTGTGAAGTTAAATAAGAAAGTATTTTGCGAGCTTATGTTTTTAGTTACTTATTAATAAAAATGACACAACATGCGTACACAAATGAGGAGTTAGTGGACATTGTTTTATCGAACGGAGAAGCAGAGCAAAATACGCGAGCGGCGTCTCGTTTGTATGCACACCGATTTCCGAATAGGCACATACCATCAGGAAACATTTAGACACGCCCAAGCTTATATTGCAGTCAATGGAAACAATTTTGAACAGCTTTTATAAGTATGTGAACTGTTAAACTGTATTATTTTATTATCTCGATTTCTGGAGGACTTTTATTACAATTTTTTTTTTGAGAAATCAACTCCTTTCGTAACAGTACTTTCTCCGTAACGCTATTATTAGTCATTAAGGATTACCCACAAGCACAAGCTTGACCCTTTGAGCATAGGAAACATGCTATGGCGCGGCAGAAATACATGTAATACCATACCAGAATTACAGAAAGCTCACCAAAGCCGGTGGTACGCCACGGGGAGCTGCCGTCTTTTTCGTCATTTTAGGGGTACGGAGATGTCTATAATGTGTGGAATATGTCTAATAGGTGCGTAGAATTACTGAGGTTGGGAGCTAATAAAAGTACTAACAACAAAAAATTAAGATATACTCTCCCTACCCTCTACAGTCTCCATCCCCAAATTCTTTTTTTTTCAAATGATCAGGATCCTTTGGAACGTCAAAAAACGAAGTTTGAGGAACTTTTATTCTTTCCCGTTCTTCTCTTTTTTTTCTATGCTTTGTGTCCTAGTTACATTGGGTAAGAATTTCATCGACATCCGATCGGTTCTTCTGACGTTATAGGCGGTTATACAATTAGCTGGCAGACCGACAGACATACGGACGAATGTGAGTAACATGGTTTTTCTTTTTGTACATGTCATATATCTTCCAAAAGACAATATCTTATTTTCGATTTTTTTCGCGATTACAATACTTACCTGCTAGTTCGCGCGGGAAAAAATAAGAGGAAGTTATGTACGAATAGGATTTAAACGGACAAATCAGACAGCGATTTCTATGTTACCACGCTCTGTGTGCTGGGCCACCGTGTCAGCTGTCAGATTTTGCAAGCGCTAATATTTGTACGATGAGTGTACAAGTAGGAAATATTTCTAAAATTAATAATAATATTTAGATATCTATAACAAGCCAAGTAAATATGGCATTATCAGAGAACAAGATGATGGTAAAGCTACTTCTCTCACTTTATTGGATTTCTCAAAAGCATTCGACACCATAGACCACTCACTTCATTGTTCTAAATTATCTTACTATGGCTTCAATAATACAGCATTAAATTTCATTAAAACATATCTTTCGGAACGTCAATAAGTGGTACACTTGGATAACCACTACTCTAATCCTTGCCTTGTTACACCTGGTGTCCTCAAGGCTCTGTACTTGGCCCTATTGTTTTTACTGTACACAGCTGATATTCATACCGTTATATCTGACTCTTCTCTAGTAATTTACGCCGATGATATGCAACTGTATTTTTTAGCCCCTAATAAAGCAGTTCGTGAGATCAATATGGGTCTTGAAGAAATTGTGAGATATTCTGAAGGTTTTATAGTTGAATCCTGATAAATGTAATCGTATGCTGTTTTATTCTAATAGTATCCCTCCAACTGTATACCATTTCATAAATATATAGATTGATGGAGTAGCTCTTCCAGAGGTGGACAAAGCAAAGAATTTAGGACTAATATTTGATGAATCTTTACGTTTAATGAGCATGTTGCTAATATTCTGAAAAAAGGTTATATTGTTCTTAAATGCCTTTATTCTAAAACATATATATATTGGATTTTAAAACTAGGAAGACCTTTGCGAGACGCTAATCTTTCCTATATTCTCTTACTGCTGTGTAGTTTGTTACTGTTATGTTACGTACATTTATATTCCAATAAAGATCTTTATTGTTATTATTATTATAATTATTACATATTATTACTATTATTATTATTATTAGTATACATTACGAAAGTAAAACTGTAGGAGTAGTGGCACTGTCACGTAACAGGGATCGTCTGATCATCATTCTGTAATTCATTTAGCTCCTGTATCACTACAACTGTAAGAAAATAGTTAATCCAGCATTTTCCCATGTGATGGAAATTCACTTCGCTCGAATCGGTTGGTGGGGATCGTTAAATCGACCGCAGCGTGAGATCTGGAAGATATGTGAAATAACTCGGGACCAGTCGTTATTGATAGAAAAATGTACGACAGTAGTTTTTGACTGTAAAGAAAATAAATGGGACTAAAAGTGAGAGCAAATAAGAAATTTTTGAAATATTTCACTATATGTATAATAGGTTGCTGTTTAATTTCTTATAACCTAACTTAATTGACTAATACTTAGCAGTTTGTGCGGTTTAAATACATCTTTTGACGTCGGTTATGAAATAATAATAAATGTATTCATTAAATCTCTGAATAAAGGCGAAGTTTAGACATAACTATGCTTATGTTTGTCGTCACGACTGCCAAGTTCGTAAAACACAAAATCGATGATGTTTTGGAATGACTTTCTAATCCAACTTTGATCGCAATAGTTGTTGCCCTTCAAATTGATTCGAATGTCGATAAAAACGGCTTGAAGAGTGCTCATAAATATAGAATAAAAGAGAATAAATTCAATCAAGTTCAAGGACTAGCTGTCAGATAGATTTCCATTATATTTAAAATATGACTTAATATACTACTAATATAGCTTTCGTTCATCCGACCACAAACGACTAACCATGGACAGCTGATTCGTGCTTTTTGCAACTCCTCAGCATGGTTCAGGCTGTCGGACAATGAACAAAAGCATACCAGCTATACACTATACAGAATGTGTAATCTATCGAAATGAGACAGCGCAAAGCACCATCTACCACTAGAATCGACCAACTGCTTTGTTAAATAACGAAGGTTTGGTCAAGGCAACATATGACATACATTTTTCCAATCAAAATCAGAAACCCTATCCACCTATGCAAAAGTCGTCTATAAGGAAAAATAAAGTTGATGATTGAAGGCAAGAGGCATCATATTATCATTCTTATTATGCCATCTTCTAGAGCAGAAAGATGGCGATGTTAATTTGATTTTAATTTTGAAATCCAATCTCAAATAAACTCAGAAAAACATCAAACCTATTTTCCGTCTCTCTCTGGAAATACTCGGAGCTGCGAAGTTTTTTAAGTGTCAATTTCTTGTTGACCAAATGCGCCCTTTGCCTCCATTTAGCGGGTTCGTATCTCTTATCGTTTCCGAGATACCAATGGTAAGAGTCGAATTTAAAACACCCAATAGGAGGAGAATGATATAGATAGTCATGGGTTTTGATAATTGGTTGTCGAGCTATTGGGTATTTTACCTAAAAAACATCAAACCTAACCTGCGTATCTGCTGTCTTGCTAGTTGGAGTAGTGAATTTTATGTCAAAAACATTTTACAATACTCAATTTTAGCATAATTCATCAATTCTTTGAATTATTTGAATGACCAATAGAGGGCGATCAAAAATGGAAAATGTACTTTTTCACACCACCAGATCCCCATTTTCATGAGATTTTTTATGAATCAAGGTTGTTACCATTTTGCTCAAACAGATTCTGCGTAAGAGCTATTTGTTTCAAATAATTGAATGCTTCTCTATCCGAACAAGTCACATCATCCATGGAAACAAAAAGCAAGTGAGAGAATACTGACAAAATCTGGCTGTTGTTAATAGGTAATTCAAAGCTTTTGTGCTGAAATTGATACTATATTATTATAAAATTAATTTTTTCAGACTATCAAACATTGATGTTTTTCTAGATAAAATACCCAATCGCTCAACAACTAGTTATCAAAACCTATAAGAATATCGTATCAACCTGCTTTTAAAAGGGTCAATCTAATAAAGTGGGCCATTCCATTTAAAAATGTGTGTGGGTCACAATTTTGACACCTTGTATAATTATGAATATTTTAAAAATATGGCTCCAGGTACCACGAATCGTTTTCTTTGAACAGTTTGTCCGTCATCGCACTGTTCTGACATCTTGTATAATGTCGTGTAGTATACTATCATGGGTAAATATGAAAAGATTATCATAAACATATTCTCGAGTTATAATGTATTAACTTCCATATACATATCGAAATGCCCTCGTAACATAAGCGATTATACAACGGAATGACGTGATTCCCCTAACCGTCCCGTCTAGAATTCGTTGCGGATTCTTGGAAATCGGTGTATGTCCGTAGGTGAGAACAAATATGTGCATGTGATAGTGATCCGAATGCCTGGCAGTTTCTAATTTTGAGAGCGTCGCGTACGCTCGCAGAAAATTTGGCTACGGCCCAATGGTTTCGCTTTTGCCGAGCCTGCAACTCTGTATTGTTTGTGTTACAAAAGGTTGGAAAGCGTACAACAAGATATTTTGGATTTATTTACTCAAAAATGTAAGTATTGCTTTTGTATTGTGTTTCCAAATAACAATCAATGCCACCTGACACCACAAAACTGGAATAACTTGTCGGTATATAAGCAATAACTTAAAGTCTTGTTTGGTGTCTTTTGCTTGTCAATTTGGTCACTATGAAGTTTAAAGCTGATTTTAAATTATCTTTTTGGATCAGGTAGAAATTTTATGCTTCTGCCATAGCTCGAGGGCTATAATCGAAACAACATTGCGTACAAAGGTGTCGAACACTGGATTGATCCAAATTTAAATGTAATGGGTCAAATCAACTTAGCCAAGTTTTCAGATGGGTAGGTCGCCCCTGGGGACCAGAAACGTGTTTTTTCGAATATATTTTTTTCATAAATTTGTGGAACGTATAGGCTTGAGGTTCTTTTTAGAATTATTGGTCAGGAAACGAAAACTTCGTAAACTTGAAAATCCACTATACGGTGTGTCCCAGATTCGCTTCTCTATACAGGGACCTCGACACCTGTAATACCTACGGTAAAGGTTAAATGGGGAAGGTTTTAGAGGAAACTTAGTGCTTTCGATAGCCGGCTTCAGATTTATGATCGGTCAATTGGTTTTGAAAATATCAGCGAAAAACTGAAACTGGCGAAATTTATTTTTTGGTAGTAAATCCAAAACATTTAATTTGATAACTGTCAAAATGTGATATTATTCGGACATTTTTTTTTAATAAAAATGAGATAGCATGTATGACATGTCTCAATCGTCTTTTGTTTTCCAGCAACCCGCAACAACTTTCATTTTTCATATGGCCGCCATATTGGATTCTTTGATTTTTGAAAAGAGTGTAAAATGTTATGTATTAGTTTTTTCTAACGAGGCCCTGTTTTGTTTGTTAGAAAATAACATTAATGAGTAAGGAATAAAAAACACATAAACGCCTTGAATTTTCAATAGACTATTAACGTTAATATCGACTTCTCAACAAGTCAAATGTTTTGGGACAAATTCCCAGTGTGTTAAACACAAGTCAGAACAATCTTCGCAAATTTATTTTGAACAAACAAACATTTTACAATATTTTAATGTAGTGTAAAGTCTAATGATGTAAGTGGGTATTAATTTACAGATTTGAAGTCCAGACATTTTTGACAATTGGTGATTGGTTTTTCGTATGACCCTAGCTAGTGTATTTCTGTTTATGTTTCTAACTGTGCTCAAATTTATTTGTCTCAGTATTTATATGGTCGCGGGAGGATCAAATTCTTAGACCTGATTCTTTGTGTGACCCCAGAGTTAGAAATCCAAGGGTGAAAGGTCAGGGGATCTAGCAGGCCAAGATGTTGAAACATTCAATAAATATATTCTTTCATCAATCTGCTGTCTTAAGAAGTTCCTGAATGGTGTTGTGAGCCGGATATCCGTCCTGTTGAAACTAGGTTCTTCTAAACTCATCTTCGGTTAGACTAGCTCGTAAAGCTGGCACAACCTGGTTTCGCAAAAGCTCTTGGTACCTATGTCCATTTAGGTCGTAGTCAAACAAAAATGGTCCTATAAGTCGATTTCTTGAAATAAGTAATACCTAATTTCAAATAGGTGCCCAATTAAAAAGGGTAAGTTAGATTAAATTACCAATGACCGCACACCAAATGTTAAATCCAAATCTGGTCTGTAGACGTCTCCCTGCTACTTCGTGAGGGTCTTCCACAGTCAATGATGAGTGTTGTGCTTATTAACAACTCCACAATTCGTAACCCTACTCTCACCAAGACCTGATTTACAAAATCGGGATTTTCTTTAGTCTTCCTAGTATACCACTCACAGAAGCGCATTCGCGTTGGAAAATCAGTTTCCTTAGGTCCTAGAACTATTGTAGGTTTGTATGGATGGTCTTATTTAACACTCTCTGTCCTGTTGATTTTGATACACCAATTTCTCGTTCTATAGTTCTTACTGATGAACTAGGGGTTTCGTTGACAGCTTGTAAAATGTTTCCGACGCGATTTTCATTTTCAATATTGTATCCTTCTAGGTTGTTCAAAGGCCCCATGGTTTATTAAATTAACTACTCTGTTTCTAAATTAGGTTTTATGAGGCTGCTGTCATTCTGGATACGTCTCCAAGTACCTTGCTAAGGTAATGTCGGCGTTCCTGTGTGACTGCAAATACAGCGCTAACATGTCCTACTTTTCTTCATTTGAGTAGGGAATACCGGCCATTTTCAACAGGTTTTGTTGTTTTTTTTGTTGGATTTATGACTTTAATGAGAGCAAGCGTACCTACTACTTATTGAAAGACAATTTTAATCCTATAAATTATTTAACGTTAAAGTAAGAACTTCCTTAGATGAAAAAAGTGCGTTACTTATTAATTTTATTTTCTGATAAAAAATCATGGAACCCTTAGGAAAAAATTAATACATAACACTACGTACGCTCTTTTCAAAAATCGAAATATCCAATATGGCGGCCATATGAAAAATGAAAGTTGAGGTAGGTTGCGGGAAAACGACGATTGAGACTTGTCATACACTTTATCTTATTTGCCTTAAAAGAATGTCGGAATAATGTCACATTTTGACAGCTGTTAAATTAACCGTTTTGGAGTTACTGGTAAAAAACAAAATTCGACATTTTGAGTTTTTCGCCGATATTTCCAAAACCAATTAACCGATCCTAAAACTGATGCCGGCAATCGAAATCACTAAGTTTCCTCTAAAACTTTCAACAATTAGCCTTTGCTGTAGGTATAACAGGAGCCGCGATACCTGTATAGAGAGGTGAATCGTTCTTGCATTTTTTCAAATACACTAACAAAATCATGAATTTTTACCTGGAAAATCGTCAAAAATCGAACCACATTTTCACAGACTTTCTCTAATGTTTTACTCTTTAAGCGTAGGATATTCTAACTTCGCCAATTGAAATACTTGGCCAACATATGTATGTTTGTCCATTATTTCAGGTTCCATAGTCGAAATTTTGATTTCTTGTCCAGAAAATCGCCAAAAATAGGTATGTCCTATTAACGCAATCTTTCGGGAAACAAATTAAAATTCTGACGGTGGAACCTTGAAGAACGTACAAGAAAACATAAAGACGTTGAATTTTTAGGTTGAATAACATTTGATATCGTACGTTTATAATTAAGAAAAATAGAGAAAATCAGTGAGAATGTGGTTTTTCAGTTTTTTTGCGATATTCCAGGTTTAAATAAATTGATGATTCTGTTAGTGGATCTAAGGAGAACTAAAGACAGCACTGACATACAGTGGAACATGTTTTTACTATGTCCCTGCTCACTAAATCGATAAAGGCTAAAAACTGATAATAGGCTAGTTGACACTATTTTTTAGTAGGTCTAATATCTGTTCTATTAGAGCGAATAAATTAATACAAATTTTTTTCAGTCCTAAGTGACCGTAAAACTGTTGCAATTTAAAAATATGTTTTTCTTGGACATGTGAAAACCCTGTTCATAATGTTTGGACCATATTAGTGTTCTGACGTCATACCATTTGTAAACAGCAGCTGACAGCAGCATAATCTCTCAATTTTTTAAACATGTAAGCATGACTTCTACCAGTTTACATGGAAAATATAGTAATTACAGGTATCGTTATTGTATCGCCCGAGAATGTAAAAGCACATCGATAAAGATCTCAGGAAAGATGTGGATTTCTAATCCACAGGGAAATACATACAGGGTGACTTCGAAGTTGAGTCATTTATTTTAACAGTGTGTAGATCTGATCAAAAGAAATGTTTTTTTCCTTTACCATTTTTCTGGTAAAATTAAAGTAACAAAGTTATAGCCCTTTGGAAGTTTGAGTACCGCCCTGTCTCAATAATATCATGTGTTCGTGTTTGGCAACAACGGTTCATCGCATCGGAAACAAAAAAGCGAAAGAATTTGGAACGATGTTTTTACGATTACAATTCAGTTCAGTTATACATACAGTCAGTTTCAGTCGCGTGTGAATAGTGTCTGTTGCGTGGCTCAAACGAAATAAAAAATGGCACATGTTTATGCGGATCGGTTTCCCAATCGAGTGCAACCAACCCCTCGTGCTTTTGTTAATGTAGTACAACGGGCTCGTGAATCAGGTGACTTAAGACCTCACAGGGGACCTCACGATCAAATACAGGTCCGCACTGAAATACTTGTCGGGAGGATACTTTATAAAACAAGGTAAATTTTTTTTTTAATTTTTTTTTATTTTTACACACATATTTTGGTTTATCTTCCTTCTACAATCATTATCTGAAAATTAATGACTCAACTTCAAAGTCACCCTGTATACGCAACGATATGTATTGTTTGGTCCATACCTTATGTTCGGGACATATCTTACATTTTGCTGTGCAGATTTTATCGTAGAAGTCCTGATGTTCCTCAGCTCACCAATGTGCTTTCTGCTTTTATGAATCCAGCATTTTTTTCAATAAAACGAGAAAACGATAACCTTTCACGTCAAGTTTTTTAGAAGTAATACTGATGGCGTTTCTTTGCTTACAATTTGTATGACGTTGCAACATGGCTGATAGTATTTCCACCGTCTTGTAATAAAAATGGAAGGTAATTTTTTAAAATTCGCATGTATCCATTTTGCTCCTTTAAAAATTGAAATTGATATATTTCGTTTTCTTAAGGCAAATACTATAAGAAATAACTATTTATTCTATGAAACTAGATATGAGAGAAATAGCCTACTTTTGTGGAATGGTTTTTGACGAAATCATATGAGTTAGGTGGCCTTATTATCTAGATATTTTTTTTGAACCATTTATTCTTTTAGATGTTACAAATAAAGTATTATCCAGGAGAAGGATACAATTTTCAGTACATGCCAGACTACAGATTTTATTGTGACGAAAAAATACTGAGACCTTTGAGTTCCTATTACGATTATCCATTCCCAACAAGAATTTGGGTTCCTTATGGAAAATTGAGGGTATATACTAACTATCTACCTTTTAGAGGACCCTTCAGGGAACAAAGAGTGAGTATTTTGTGTTGTTTAACATTCTTATAATCCGAAATTTTTTGTTTTCGCTGAATAATGTCACAGAAGCAGTTTTAAAAAGTCGTGATTCCAAAAAATGTCAGAAGTCTGTATTTAGTGTTGACTTCGCATTTCCTTGTCTTTCAACAGCCTGTCTAACAAGTATCAGTAATACTTTTCGCCTGATTGTTTCATGGTGTGTATAAAAATAATGTTACTAGTTAATTTTTCATCAAAAAATGCATTTTTATGCATTATTCTTCAATCGTAACTTGTTAACAAAGAATAGTACAGCCCAAAAAATGAATGTGAATATTCCACTTTTATGGAAGAATTGAGAGAATGATTTTTTCTTACCACTTTCTCTGTTCAAAAAATCTTTGCTTTTCTTGGAAACACAATTTTCTACAAAATTAGGTTTCAACAAAATTTTCAGAAAAGGTAATAGAAATGAAAGCAATCACCGCAATTCTACTATAAAATGGAATTTTGACATAGAATTTCAGAGCTGTACTGATAGTTTCCAACAAGTTACGAAAAACGCACAATAAAATGCATAAAAATGTAATTTGTATTTTTTGACAAAAATTGATAACATAGCTTTTTAGTCATCTCTAACTCTATACCTTCACATTACGAAATATCAGATGAAAAGGAGTTAGAATACTGATCAGCTTGACGTCATTTTACTTCACAATTGTTTCAAAATAGAGATCGAATATTTTCAATCCATTGTATTGCTTCTTGTCATTTATGCCAAGATTTATTGTAAGTTAAGTTGAACGTCTCTCAATGAGGGCATTCAGCCAAGGTAATGCGGTCCAGCGGTGCTGAGCTTTTATGCTGAATAGGAGTAGCTGCAACAGAAAAGTGAAAGTTGATATCAAACTGTCAAAGCTATCCACTTTACGTTGGCTGAATGCGTTCATTTTGTGCATTCAGATCCTGTGCTGCAGCAGTTTTTTGCTGAAGGCAGTAGCCGTGAGATAGCTTTGTCTGTTTGACAGCAACTTTCACTTGGCTCTGAGATTTTATAGTTTTTTTGGCTGTGAGGAATGGCGCCTATATACTTGGAGAATCGGAAAAATGCGCAAAAAAACACCCTACATTTTGAAGCCTGATTAAGGGCGCAGTGATCTAAGCGAGCAGCAAATACTGCGCATGCGCAGAGTATCTGAGGTTATAGTACGAGGACCGGCAGCTTGAATCTGGAGGAATCTGTTTTTTGATAAAACTTGATTTCTATGAACTATGCATAATAATGGAGCTACTAATATTTAATCGCTCATGAAAATCAAAATCTGCAGAAAAAACCCAAATCACGGTTAATTAATGTAAAGGGGTCGGTTTGGTTCAAAGAGCGGGGGGTGCTTTCTAACCGCGAAGCTTGTGATTTTCCACAGAACATTATATGCCCAAAATTTTCCCAAGTAAGAATCCCCGAATTTGAGGGTAAGTCCTCCAACATGGCAACCCTGTCGACGCATCACAAGTTTAGAGGTAATTTTTAAGCTCTATTCACACTCAGCCGTGACGTGACAGAGTCGTGACGTGCCAGTGATTCTTGCTGACGTGAGCTCAGTGTTTTCAATTCACACCGGTCAGTATTTTTTTTCGTGCTCTGCCGGTGCAGCTGTGTTCACGTGAGGTCGAGATGGCAAAATTTTCAGAGGATGAACTTGCAATCATTGCATTAATTCTGCATTTTTTTTATACTCCAACTACCACGAAGGCCTAAACACCCATGGGGTACCGTGGTGCTATAGGGGGAAAGGGGGGACGCCAGACGGACTCTGGCGAGGGAACATGTGTGCATACAACATGCACACATTCTGGCCCCGCCTACGAGTTCCGCCGGATGGTACCTCCGCGTCAGAGACCGTCTACCACCTGCGAAAGATCAAGAAGAAGAAACGAGAAGAACACGGAAGTCCTTGTATTTTAAATTTGACTAGTTCTACAACACGGGATGTACGCGTACACATTCAATAAGTTTTTCATCATTCATGTTTTTGACCAATAATATCAAAATATCTAAATTACATAAAAACACGGCCATGAAAATAGAAAAATATCGTTCCAAAACAATGCGATGATCACGGTACGGCGTCGTCGAGGGCACTGAGAACACGGCCACTTCCACGAGCCTGTCTAATGTGAATCACTTCATCCAAATTCCAGGAAGAATGTTTTAAGTTTCGCCGGGCGGATCACGTGCCGGTCACAGCACTGTCACGGCACGGCTTTTACAGCACGAATAGCATTGCTATAGTTTTTCCTGGTATATAGGCTCCATGCTCTGAAGTGTCAAAATTATTTCAAGGCTGTTGCGATACAGCACAAAACCGTTGCACCGTTGAGCTGCATTAAGTCTTCTGAAAGCGCTCATGTGTCTCTTCTCAAAACATTCACTATAAAATGGCATTTTTTCAATACTCTCCTAATCTTATCAATCAACTTTAATCAGTTATGACAAATATTTAAGATGTTTTGATTTTTACAAATAATGCTTTTGTTTCAGATACGAAGGGTACTGTATAACATACCACAAACTTTAGAACCTTGTTATCCATATAATTTATGAATTACTTAGGTGTCTTATGTTTCAACTTTAAATAAATGATTTATAAACTTCGTGAACCTTCTTGTATTTTACAAATGTAATCTTAGTAGCCATGTAATGGATACAACAAAGAAAATGGATACACAGCTATTATGCTCGCTGACAACCTTGAAAGAAGTTGCTTGTTTTTTTTTGGAACACTTGTAGAAAGAGCAAACCTATAGGAGTTTTGATTGTTTGGCTTTATGAAGGAAAAAATTCCATTAAGCATGCCACAGATGTGGCATCCCGATTTGAACCTTCTCCTACCTACTGCAGCCCATATATGATGTTGCTACCACTAAGAGTTATATTAATAGACTTTCCTTGTGGTCTGAGGCTTCCTTGGAAACAATGGATTCCACCCTGGAATCAGTAAAACAATGACGCTGCCTGGAGAAACGTTTAGGAGGATTTAAATTTTCATTTCACAAGATGTCAGAAAGATTTCTATTTGCTTTCCGTATCTATTCAGCATTTTGATAATATTGGGACGATTTGGTTTATTTGTGTGAAATATCAGGAAAGATAGTGAAATAGTAATGAATCTGCTTCCCCGAATTACAGCGCAGCCACAGAGAAGAAAAAGTGAATATATATATATAATCGTACTGCACTGCTTTTATTTTTGATGATCCCTTTAAATTTGTCTAGCATCTCGATAAAAAGCATCTTCTCCTCGCTATAATTCTTTTTTTCAGATTCACTCATTATATATGTTTTTTTGTGAAATACTGTAGTAGTTGAATCTGACACACGTAATCTATAATCCGTAAACAGTATAGCAGTTCGATGCAACTGGTTGCCTATATTTAGTTACTTCTCTGTGATTAAGCTGTAATTCGAGGCGGCAAACGTTTTATTGTTTTACGTTGTTTATTGATATTTAGTTTAATTAAAACAAATCGTCCCAATTTTATCATCAAAACGCCAAATAGATATGGCCAGCAAAGAAAAATCTTTCTGGCATCGATGAGAGCTTGTGATGACAAACAACTGTTACAGCCTACTGTGAAATGGAAATTCAAATCCACCCTTGCGCTTTCTCTGTTTCCAAAGAGATATTCATTGTTTCCAAGGAAGCCTCAAGCTTCAAGGAAGACCTATAAATCTGACTCTCAGTCATGCTATTATTCCTGTATACAAAATGAATGTAAAATGAATCTGTCAGTATTTCAGGAAAGCAATGATTTCGGTCTTCCTGTCCGCAATATTTGAAAGTGGGATAGTTTGACACTTAAGTAAGAATTTGTCCATGTGGGGCTGACAGGTTAGTAATCCACACGGAAAGTCTGCGGTTCATTTCTCTAGCGACGCGGCAACAACCTTTCGTAACATGAAAGAATGTTCGTGTATGGGCTCCATCACAAGTGTCACGATGGACTTCACGTACGGCCTTCGGTGTTTCAGTTGAGTTACCAAGAGTAACTCAGTAGTGCTCAGCACCTGCCGGTACTGTTCCATTGCGTTAGTGTGTCATCTACTTTGGAGGCTTATTTTTGAGATGTCTTGCCAGCATCATAAAAAGAGTTTCGTGAGCAACAAACCACGAACGCATAAGGCTCTTAAAAGCACTGGAAAACAGGTTTCTAGTGAACTGAGCTTCATATCTTCCTTCCCGATTCATAACATGAAGCATCCAGTTAAGAGACCCTTCCACTTGTTTTTATATATAGTATCATCGCATGTCTCGGTTCCGTCGGGCTGTTTGTCGATTTGTCTGCCTGCTAATCAATGGTCCCTCTATAACTCGAAAAGCACCACTTGAGTGCCACACCTTTTTTTTGGTGAATTAATAAAACACAGTGATAAATACTATCTAACGGTTGGTCCAAGCAAAACAGTTGTCGAGTGGCGTGCAAATGTAGACCCTAGCTCAGTAAAGCGGGGAGTAGGGGGGGGGGGGTTAAGAGCGCCAGTGACTTAGGACGGATTAAGCCACAACTCTCCGAGATGTTAGTCGTCGGAACTTGGTTTGCTTGACCACCACACAAAACGAGAATTTAACAGAGATGCCGCAATTTAAGTAACAGTACACACAGAGGGAGCCACATAAAACAAGATATCAAATGAATCACAATATATTGATTAATAAAAGAAAAACGCACATGTGCTCCACTACTGGAGTGCGAGTCATAATAAAAAAGAAAGGATGTTATAAATCTTAAATACAACCTGACAACATTATTTTTCGAGATAACCCCGCGAGACGTCTACCATGGTATACGGCCGAAGTATTTACACATATTTTGCACCTAAATATGAAACTTATCTGTAAGTCTTCTTGTCAGGCGCGGTCGAGATGTCCTCAACGTCACTGGGCAGGGGCTGCCAAAAATTATGGTAGTAAAAAAAAAACCCTAGAAAGAGAAAGACTGTTTAAAAATCTACTCTACTCTCTGCCTGAGATAAAACAATCGCACTTGAAGCAAAACCATGTACGTTTTTTGTAAGCAAAGGCAAAAAAAAAAGATAAAAATGTACTAAACTTGTTCTAAAAAGTTATGGCAGCTCAAAAATCAAAATCATGATCAATGTAATAGAAAGTGCCATGTAGGCACTGCCCCCATATTTGAATACGTAGAATATCCAATAAAATCAAGAAGTCTATAAGAATTTCAATAAGCAATAATAAATGTATAAAGATCTATGAAATTGTTAATTAGAATAATATTTTACCTGTTCACATCAGGTTTTTGTCTTCCACCAATTTGCAAAACTGCAACAAGATGCAACCAACTGGAGGAGAAAGGATGATGATTCTCTTCTGTTTCTATTGACTAAAAGAAAGCAGATATTGAACGAACGTCATCACGACACCCAATAAGGCACGTGGTCCGATAAAAAGAACTTAGCGCGAGGGTCAAAATCCCATAAAAAAAGGAAGACGTAGCACCCAAACCAAAATGGCTAAACTTAAGTTACACAAAAAAATTGGTGCTACTTTAAGAATTGGCGCTTGGGCCTAATATCCCAGAGTCCGGAAAATGACGAAACGACCCCTGCACCACAACCTCAACTTGACGGTAGTTCACTTATACTCCTCCATGCATGTGCATAGCAGTCATCTTGAAATTTTTATCTGTTACTTTTACCTTGACCCATGCATAGGATCGTTCACCCCGACCTGTTAAAAAGATGAGTGAATCGCGAATATTTTTGGAAAGCACTGTATAAGTATTTTTCATTTGCCATGATTTATTTTCGTTTTTATAAATAAGGTAAAGGTGCAAGGAAAAATTCATTCGGATCATAGCTAGTCAGGTTTTGATCCATTTGTGTCTTTTGAATAGACTTGATCATTTATTTGTGTTATACATGTACCTTTTTTATAAGATCAGCTACTTTGTCCCATTTTCGTTTTAGCAGCTATTACTGCATTGGGTTACGTCATAAAAAAACTCATGGAAATTATATGCAGTCTATTGAAAATCTATTTCAAGTAGGTTAACTCTATATCCCACAGACAATTGCCTTGGAACCCGTGCATAATCTTATTTATAACGGAATTCCAACGGAAGTACATAGTTATTCAATCAACGCTATGCTTTGTTATATTATGGTCAATTTTAGAGCGTTCCCTAAATTCTAATGTAAAGGTCCCTTTAGTATTTTCTGAGGTTATAGTTAGTTGGTACCTTTCAGACATTTCACAAAAATTACGAAGACGCGATTTTTTTGCTTTGCATTTATTTGAAAGATTTCCAGCAGATTATTTTATATATATTTATATATTTTATATAAGCTAACAGTTTGCTTTTCCGCGAAACGGGTCCAAATTTATGATGACATCTTCATTAAGGTCACCACTGATGTCCAAAAAGGTTATGTAGTACTTGTTACTTCATACTATTTTATATTATAGTTCAAAGATAATAAACTGTAACAAAAGGTTGGAATGCATTAAATAGCTGATGAATGACTTACCTAATTTCTTTAAAAATTGGTAGATATAAGTTCGAAGCCACGCCGGATCCGTTGATGATATCCGCGATGTTGCCAAATCTACAGTTTTTCAGAAACTGATAGCAACTTTTGTTTTTCTCATATATTATTCGATATTTGTATTCTGCGAGTAATTCTGAATACTTTTTATCAAACATACTTTTCTGAAGACCTCATAGTATTCGAAATAAAATAATATCCTGTCATTTCTGATATTGAAAAGTCCAATGGGTTTTGTTAGTAGAGTTAATAAAAATATGATTTATTTAACTACAACCAAGGAGATAGAAATTCTAGTATTGAAATCGTGTATTTGATACTCCAAGGAAACAAGAAAAAAATTGAAAACAAAGAAAACGATAAAACCTAGTTGTTAATTTAAACTTCAAAATAAGATAAACATAATATTATATGTTTGAATTGTTGTCCCTGTACTTCTTAGAAATAAGCTTGATATTGCGGAAATGCGTTTAGAATATTGTGAAGATAACGGGTGATTTTTTAAGAGGTATAGGATTTAGTTTTCAAAAAAAAAACACAAATAATTTGGAAAAACGATTAAATCTTTATTTGAGTCGATAGAACGGTCGATATAATTTAATGTTTAAAGATTATTTCATGTAAATGTTGGCCGCGGCTCCGCTTTAGATGGCCCATGCGCAAGGTCCAATTTTAGCACACTCTCTCCAACATATCGGCCGGTATCTCACGAACAAATGCTTCAATATTGGCTTCCAGTGGTCAATCGTTGCTGGTTTATCACTGTAGACATTAGCCTTAACATGGCCAGACAAGAAATAGTCCAACGGCGTTAAATCACACGATCTAGGCGGCCAATTGACGGGCCCCAAACGTGAGATAAACTGTTCACCGAACTCGCCTCTCAATAGGGCCATTGTTTCGTGTGCGGTGTGGCATGTGGCACCGGCTTGTTGAAACCACATGTCAGCCAAGTCCAGCTCTTCTATTTTGGGCAAAAAAAAAGAATTTGTGTGCTAATAGTATGTTTGGATCATAATTCCATTTTATTCTTGTCTCAAATACACTTACTTGGGATTCAAAGCAAGAAATTAGTTGCCAGTCCACTTTTTCTTATCCAATCTGGAAATTAGATATGTAAATT